GCAAATCACCGGAAGACTCGGTAGACTGGCCCGTATCTGTACACCTGCACTTGGTTGACTGGTAGATCGTGGCGGCGTTGTTAGCAACTTTTCCCTATTTTACTTGATATTTGTATTGGCTAGGATCATCTGATAATGCAACTCCACGCAAGAGATGAGAGAAGTACAGAAAGAAAATGGTATGGAAGGTCAAGACTATGATATGAAGGAAAAGGAAAGACGTGATCAAAGAGGGGAAATGATGTGAGAAAAAGAGAATCAAAAGACGACAGGGAGAGAGGGCGAGAAATGAGGAAAGATAATGAGAAATGGGAGAGCACAGTAGAGAAATGAGAGATTTGAGCAGTTCTATGTAAAATGCCATGCGAGTCCCATAAATCGTCCGCGCCCCATTTATGTATTTGCGCCACTCTTTTCAGACGACAGATATTTGTTCCTCATCCATCATGTATGTTCGATCATTGGTCACGCTAATTCAAGAATGAAATGAAAAGGAAAGAGACAAGAAAAGGATCACAGATGGAGAACAGTGAGCGCAAGGGTAAGGAATGTGACACAGAACCCTAAGCAGACAGATTGGTTAAAGCATCAAGAGACTGGCAATGTAACTCATGGAGGATGTTCGGAGTCCACTGGTTCATTAAACTTCTGTCGCGCCTCTTCTACCCATAGTTCCAAGCGAAGCTCGCCAGCTTCTACACGTCGTACGGGTACCGTTTTGGCGCGACCATTGGACACTCTGGGGGGAGGTTGATGCAGCTCGCCGTTTTTCGATTTGGAAACGGAGTAGGGCGCAGTACACGACCTCAGGTGAATCTTCCCGGGTTCGGCAACAATCCAGGTCTGTTCTTCCTTTGTGGTACCAGCCGGAGGTAATGCATCCTCCCGAACTTCGATACAGACGGTAAAGCTGAACTCGTCATCTCGAGGTAACGGGGTCAACCGGGCGCAAGCAGAGGCCAGTCTCGCGAGGCAAGCACGGAACTGCGCTTCGAGGTCGACAGTTGTAGAAGCGGAACCCCGATCGGAAACAGGGACACCTGGCTTGGATGAATCTTCTTTTCTGTCTTCAAACGTTGTGTTGACTTCTCCGGCGGAAACACGAGGGAACCCCGACAGATCAAAGGCATATCGTTCGAGGGGCTGATTTGTGCGGAGAGATGAAATGATGATACTGACAGCGGTAATAGTGCCTTTCAAAATCTCCGTCCCGACGGCAATTGACGCATCATTGATGTAGTCACACACCTTTGGGTGACGGGATTGTCGCACTGGGTAGTTGTAGGCCCGGACCGGTAAAAATGTTGCTCGCGGATAGACCGAACGAAGAAAGAGGATTTGGTGAATTGACACGGTAAGAAAGTTTGTGAAGGATGCCGCCAACGCAGATTGATTGTTTGGCATCGACATGGGCACGGTGACCGGAGCGGAGAAGGTGGTCATGGTGGTGGTCGCGGTACTGCTCTCACTGGCTATCGGCATTGCCGTCGAACGCTCTGGTATCGTCGTTTCCACGGGAAAGATGAAGCTGACGGTATCTCGATTCTGAGTGTTGTTCCACTCTGAAGCTAATCATCGCTCTGCTTTGTGTTCAGACAATGTGTCAACCACTATTTCTCTCGCCAAAACATGGGAGATGACGTGTAGATCTGCCGATTTCGGGTTGTCGCGACAAAGGACGGGCGGGGATGATTTGATATCGAGCAGGAAAGAAAGGCAAATAGAACTGAGATATGAACACAGAAAAAGCAAGACCGTCTATAATAGAATACAAATTTTGAGAAAAGACAAAGGAGAAGAGAATCAACTTGTTGTATGATACTGAAAGTGTTGAGGAGGGGATGGAGGCGGGGAGGGAGGAGAGGGGCTTGGTGCTGGTGGTGGTGGTTGTTGGTGGTTAGGTTAGGTCTGAAGGTAAAGATTGGGAAGCAGAGAACGTGGATGACCGAGAAGGAGCAGGTGAGGAGTTAAGAAAATGAACACGAGTAAGTAGTGAGTAATTGTAACGAAAAGAAGAGGTCTTTTTTAGTCTGTATTTTAATGGGAAGAAAGTTATGAATGACATGGAGGGGAGGGGCGGGAATAGTACGGAACCTGAACAAGGTATGGAGTACAAATTAGGTATTTCATGGGGGTGATTGATACTTACATACAAACAAATTTCGAAGACAAGGGACATGCAAAGAAACCTCAAAACATTGGCATGTACTAATGGACTCGTCGATATCGTGATAGTCGAATGGAAAGGGCCGAAAGAATTCAATCAAATAGAAAATGATTATGACCACACAAGGGGGAAAATAAGGCAATCAAAGAGATGTAAGTAGTTCGTTCGATGATAATGAGAGTACTCAAAAAAGCGTTTCTGTCTTGTTTCGCTTCGTTTTAAGGTACGGGAATGCCTCTTTTTTGTAGTTCCTGGTTTTTTTGCTGTTGTTTCCAGGTTCAGTTTACCCCTGTACCCCCACTAGTTCTTGCTTGCTGAAAAACTTCAAAGATACTTGGAAAGGAGTATTAAGCACAAATTGAATGTGGGCTTTCTAAAAAGGGGAAACAAGGGGTCCTCTTGTACCCGTTCGAATATGGATAGATCCGTTGGGTGGATGGCTTGGAGGGACCCTTTGTGCGATGGAGGAGAAAGGGAGAGTATGTGGGCTGGTGATGCCAGGATGTGACGGAATCAAATCGATCTGAGCAACTCAGACCCAATATTAATGCAAGCTTATATGCGCCACACAAGCGAGAGTGTTCAAAGAAGAAGGCGAGGCGAGAAATCAGGTCACCAGAAAAGAAGGAAAAAAGTAATAGGCAAACATTCTGGAGGGAAAAGGGCGCGGAAGGTCAACAAGCCATCACGTGGTTGCGTCATGGGTGTGGGTGCCCTGCAGAACATTTTGAACAGGAGTTACTACTCTGTACATACTCGACTATGGACAGAAATTAGCTGAAGACACATGACTCACGGTGTGAGAAGAGGAACGCAAATGTTGCTCCTGACCCAAATCTCACGGTCCCATGGGAAGGCTGACAGGAGAACCATCCCTCATATGGTCAACAATGAACCTGTGATTATTGCATGTTGTGCATTAGCACTCATATACTGTATTGGGGTCAGCATTGAAGACAATATCCATCGATCTATCCAGTGCTGCTCTTGAAGTCCTCATCTCAAAATCTCTTTCGTTCTCCACCATAATCAAGTATTGGGTGGCTCAACTGCTTAAGACTCTCTGGTTGGTACATAGTATGGCCTCCATGGCGACTATGGCCGATCATCTCTGTTAAAGCAAAGCAAAAAGGTCAGGACATTAGTAATCCCGCAGTAGTACCATCACGAGATTCAAAAGTTGGGAATGACAGCAGAAGAACAAGGACTTTCGAAATGAGATGTCACCACCGCTTCCTAGGCCCGGTCGATATTCAACTGCATCCTACTGTCCCGAGGCTCATCTCCGTATACGAAGATGGAATACTCCAGTTGCTTCACTTGAGGTTCACAACAGCGAGTCCACCGACAGGGGTCCTCTGGGCGATGGCATGTCATCAATATCCTCCTACGTCATGGTATGTATGTATGATGTTGCTTAAATTCTTTAGCTCTCCTTTCTTTGGCCCGTCAACCCGATGGAAGAAAGAAGTACTAATAATGGCTAATCTGTTCCGCGTCATTCGGGCGTTCTTTGCTTGGCCAAGAATAGATACCTAGTACTGCTCGGGTAAGATTGGGCATTGTTTTATGGCGATCTGTGCAGTACCTGGCCTTAGGTACCTACCTTACTGTATGGTCGGTAAGGTTATTTGTACTGCTGTACAATACACTTTTCTACCAACCTCGGGCTGTCTGTCCTACCTACCTTCAAAGAATGTGCCGTCTTGTACGTCTCATAACTTCTATAATTTCTACGCTTTAAGCTTATTTGCTGTTATTCTCTATCTTCTGTGTCCTAAGTAGTCTTGTTATGGCTTTGTCTACCTTTTGCCGCCTCTCTGGTGCCCTGAAAGCTGCGTAAGAAGTAAAATTGTCTCCACACAGGACAATTCACCGTACTTACGGCAGTAGATAATTGGATCAATCTCCCAAGAGCTCCACTAATGATCAGCGTCTCTGTTTCCAGGGCTTGCTGCCAATATTATTTGCATTTTTGATTTCTAATTTTCCCATTACAATATCTTCAATATCTTGCTCGAGTCCCACAGCACTATTCTGTCAATTTGTATCCCAGTACATAAGGTTTTTGCACATTAATACCTACCACAGGCCTGCTACCCATGTTCGTAAGTGTTCACTCTGTGTAAGTGTTTTAGTTTTGAGGAATGAGCTTCTCCGTTGAAAATATATCTGTTGGCATATTGCTGCTGGGACAACTGTATATGTATGGAGTTAAGATCCATAGCACTTGGCGGGAAAAGGAAATAAGGCAAGTAGTACGAGTAGTAACTCTTCGATCCACAGTAGATCATTCTCCACAATAGATTACAGGTAATAGAATGAAGTGGCTGAGGTGTATTTCTCTACTTCTGATGACTCTTGGACAGCAGCGAGGACAAAGAAGATCATCAAAGTTGTACAGAGTAGGCTCTCTATATCATACCAAGGACCAGATCCTTAAGGACTACTTTCTACCCGCGAGAGAGAGCAACAGCGACGTCGGAGATTGGAGAGTTGCCAGTGTCTTTCTCCATTGTGCATTACCGTGGTGTATGCAGCCATCGAAATTTCAAATATTTGCAGTTACCTTCATAGATGGTACAATGATCGAATTACTCACCGCCTCCCCTTTTGCGTTCTGTGCTTCCATCGTCTTCTGCCCCTCCAACGCGACAGAAATAATAATCTCCGCGTCGTATCAACTAATAACTTCAACCGCAGGTCAATTGCAGGCGCCATTGATCAGCAGGAGTGTCCTCTGTAGGCAGCTGCTCTGGGGCCTTGACTTCAATTGTGGAACATCTACCATTCTTTTCCGGCAGCCTGCACTACCCCTCATACTCCATCCATCATGGAGCAACAGCTCTTGACACTCCTCGCAGACACTCAGTCACCAGCTGCTGATACGAGAAAGGCCGCTGAGCTCCAGCTTCTTCGCCTCTATTCCAACGAACAATTCCCCCTCTCCCTCGCCGCCATAGCCTCTCACGACTCCGTCCCTACCAACCTTCGCCAGTCTTCCCTGTCCGTACTGCGTACCTTCATTGCGGCCGCTTGGTCGCCAAATTTAGACGAATTCAAGGGCCAGGTTCTGATCAATGACACCAACAAGACTCAAATCCGACGTGTACTGTTGGAACTGGCCACTACTGCGGATGTGCAAGAGCGGAAGGTCAAATCGTCTGCCAGCTACGCGGTCAGCAAGATTGCCAGCGCTGATTTCCCTGATGAATGGCCAGAGCTTCTCCCGTCACTTTTACAGGTCATCAACGATGCTAATAGCAGTGCGGGTGCATTGCACGGCGCGTTGAAGGTTCTGTTGGACCTCGTCGATACCGGCTTCAGTGAGGAGCAGTTCTTTGGTGTTGCCCGCGACCTCGTTACCACTCTTTTCAACATTGCGACTAGTGAGTCAAGAAAGCCGATGCTGAGAGCATTGGCCGTTGCCGTTTTTCGCTCTTGCTTCGATACCTTGGAGATGGTGCTTGAGCAGCACAAGGTGGCGGTCAAGCAGTTTATGGATGAGGTGCTGAGCGGCTGGTCCCCATTCTTCATTGAGACTCTGAAGGCTCCCTTGCCACAGGCCCCCAGTGAGCAAGAGGAGTCCAAAGAGGGTGAGATCCCTTCTCAATGGAGGGGTATAATTGGACTGAAATTGCAGGTGGTCAAGGTAGGCTGTCTCAATAACTTATTATCTTCAGTTCGTACTGACGGCATAATTCTTCGCTGTTAGACGCTTATGAAGATTCGAATGGTTTTTCCCGGCCTTATGACAGCTCAAAGCCCGGTCTATTTTTCGACTGTCTGGACAGAGCTTTCCAACATTCAGTCTGCTTATCACGAGTTCTATATCCATGACGAACGACAGGGCCGCTTAGAAGATGTTGACGGACTCCCTTACACGCTGGACTTTCTTGTGCTGGAAGAGCTTGACCTGATTCAAGCGCTTCTAAAGGCACCACCAGTCAAAGCTGAACTCCAGCAGCAGTTGCAGAACGCTGGTCAGGCTGCAGCAACCGCCAGTTGGCTTCCAGAGATCTTGAAGCTGGCCAGTTCATACGCCCAGATTACGACTGAGGAGGAAGGACTGTGGGACATTGACGTGAATCTCTTTCTATCGGAAGAGACCTCTGTCACTGCCAATTATACGCCCCGAACCTGCAGTGGAGACTTGGTCATTAAACTGGGAGAGTGGCTCAAGGTTACAATTGTTGAAGGTCTCCTCGCCTACATGAACAATCTTTTTGCCGACTCAACGTCGACGTAAGCATTCCAGTCACTCTTACTGCTAAGCTTAACATCACTAACTTAGTCCTGGCAGATGGAAATCTCGTGAATCAGCTTTGTTCATTCTCAACCAGTTGCTGCGAGACTTCAACGAAGTTTCGCAGCAGGTATCTTCCGACTTGGCAAGTGGCTTTCACAATTTCGTTACGTTCGCTATCCACCAAGAAGAAGAATTCCTGCGAGCTCGTGGTTACCTTGTGGCCGGCGTCTTGGCTCAAGTTGCGAGCGACGCTTTCCAGCCTACCGCTATCTCCTACTTCGAAGCGACCCTCAAGGCGGTCGCCGAAGACCCCTCGGAAGTGGTCAAGGTATCCTGCATTCGGGCCCTTCAGGATCTTATGGCTTCCCTTCCTGCAAGCACTACAGTCCCACTTCAGGTTCCCGTTATCAATGCCCTGTCGGAGTTCATTGCCGCGCACGACCTTCAGGAGCCTTCCGAGAGCGACGACCTCAAGGTCACTTTAGCGGAGGCGATCCGCGATACTATCATGGTTAATCCAAGTGTGGTCTTGTCATCTATTGCCATTGATGTCCTGTTCAATATAGCCAGCAATGGGGCTACGAATTTCCAGCTGACAATGATCGTTACCGAGGCATTCGAGGATATCGTACAGTCTATCTCCGAACAGGGAGCCGATTCTTTCATCCGCCTTTGTGAGAAAGTGCTCCCTGCGCTCACGGGTGCGATTGATGTTGGAAACCTCACTCAGGAGAATGCTCTCACGAACTTTGCGGCTGATCTCCTGCGCGCATTGACGGAAGGAGCCCTCCAGCCTTTACCTGCCGGATTTGTAGAGACTGTCATGCCCAAGCTTAACAGGTTGCTGTTGGACTCTTACGATGCTGAGCTAATTCGCCCTGCTACAGAAGCGGTTCGGCACATTCTTTCACATGACTTTGATCAGTTCGTGGCCTGGCGCGATCCCCAGACTGGCAAGGAAGCGGTTGAGGTTGCGCTGATAATCATTGATCGGTTGCTAGGCCCGTCGGTCGACGATAACGCCGCAACTGAGGTGGGACAGCTGGCAGCCGAGCTGGTCGAAAGAGCTGGAGCCGAGAGACTTGGGCCTTATCTGCCACAGCTGCTCCGGGCTGTAGCTCAGCGTCTTGCCACGGCTCAACAGGCACAATTTATTCAGAGTTTGATCCTTGTTTTCGCCCGGCTGACTCTGATAAACGCTCGGGAAGTGGTTGACTTCCTGGCGCAAGTCGATATTAGTGGTCAGAGCGGACTGCCAATTGTTTTGAGCAAATGGCTCGAGAATTCGGTCAACTTCGCTGGATACGACGAGATAAAGCAGAACATCATTGCGCTGGCTACAATGTACAACCTCGAAGACCCGCGCCTGGCTCAAGTGCAAGTTAAAGGCGACCTCATCATTCAGGACACGGGTCGCATCAAGACCCGGTCGCAGACCCGCAACAACCCAGACCGTTACACGACGGTGACGGCTCCGTTGAAAATTATCAAAGTGCTCGTCGAGGAGCTGGCCGCTGCATCCGGCAGCAAGGAGATTGACGCAGCTACCGCGGCCGCTTTAGAAGAAGAGGACAGCGACGACGATGGTGAATGGGAAGACATTCCCAGCAATACACTGGATCTCAGCCTGGGTGTCACCAAGCAAGAGCTCATGGCCTTTGGCGAAGGTGGCTCTGAAGGGGTGTTTGGTGTGCGCAAGCGGGATGACGAGACTCAGGCATTCTTGCTGGACTTCTTCCACAATGCGTCCACTAAGCCCGGGTTCGAGCAATTGTTCGCCGCGCTAACTCCCGACGAACAGGAGAAACTCCGCAGCTTGGGCTGATTAGATGACATTTCTCTTTACCTTGTCTATCTCTTTATTTCAACATAATACGGTCGAAATTCTCGAGGACTTCTTGACCAGACTTGACGACGTTATGTATGTAGCTGCCACTGAATAGACCCGTGACACAGCCAAAAAGCACCGGCTTTTCGTCCGGTTATTATAAGTTATAGTATGAGTGTTTTCTGTGGTAATCCATTGCAGATACGTGTATACATTAGATAACTATTTGGGACGCGTACTCTGCGTTCCAGAGGCAGTTTTTGTTCCTTCTGGAACTAGGACGTCGAGATGCATGGCGTACAAGCAGGGAGAGATGCAGTGGCAGTGGCAGTGGCAGTGGCACTGTACGGCTGCTAAGTGCTGGGAAGAAGCAGTAGGCACCTGCACGCAAAAACTTTTGCTGTTTTGTTTTGGTTTGGCTTAGCGCAGCATCAATATATTTTGCATTCTCGGCGTCCCTGGGAGCAACCTGAGAGTGGGGGTAAGGGAAAGAGATGGTGCTGCAGACGTATATTAGGGCAACGGTGACGCTCCGTTGAAGGGTTTCAGCAATTGATTGCAACCGTACTAGGTACACCGGAAGCAAACCCACGGATATAATCGTCTCCAAATATCCGTGGTCAGGAAATCCGCCATACCAAGAACGCATGCACATGCCCATCATGTTCCTTCTAGAAGCGGGCGAAGCCGGCCAGGCTACACGGAACAAAGCTTCCCTATTGGCTGCTGATATGGCCAAAACAAGAGTGGCTCATAGTCTAGTCTAATTTCTACTTAGCCTTGTTGATGGTGCTGGAGATAGGAGTGGTGGGAGAGTGCTGGCTGTTCGCTCACATCCAGAATGCATCAGTGTATCAGCTAGATGTAGTCCGTATTCGGTGTGAGTTGCCAACTTACCGGATCCATACATAAGTAGGCAGGATAATATCTAGATAGTAGATAGATACTGTGTGCTGCGAGAACCCACTTGGCGAATGACCCATCATACGGAGTACTACCACTGTAAGTCTGTAGCTCTGAAGGCGACCCGACAAATTGGCTGATCGCCTCCAGTGAGGAAATCTGATTGGATATCTCGGCCCACGTCGGCTCCAGCCGTGCGGGGCTTTAGGTTTGGTTGCGGATTTGGGAATCGGAAGAGGACAGTGCGCTTACTGCCTGATTACCAGGTAGTATCTAATAGGTTTCAGCCATGTGTTCTATGTTCAATAATGAAGAAAGAGGACCTTAGGACGATTGCATTAAGCTATCTTGATTTTTGAGAGGTGGTACAACAATCAATGACTCAGACCTCAGAATACTTAAATTAGACCCAGGGCACTGCGTAAGAGGGTACAGTGTACTCCGTACCTCTGTCAGTAAGCTACGCCATGACCAACTTTTGGCCTCTGCAGAATGGTTTAAGCCTGATTAGGCGACAGGCCACACTCGTCAAAAAGATCCATCCATACAGAGCGCATTGCCCGTTCCCAGAACCACAGTGCTGGCTCTCCAGAGAGTCTAACAGACGCCTAACAGTCCCAACAGCACACCGCCCGATTCGCAATTGGAAACCCATCGTCCTCGTCCTCGGGGCTGGAACCCCCCTGCAGCATTTCTGCGTTTGGCGACTTCGTTTAGAGTCATGGACTAAGGTACCTATCTACATGTGAATTTGAACCATATTAATATTAATTGGCTTCTTTGGTTACGATTTGCGGTTCGCTGTCCTTGCTGTGTTCTCATAGGTCCTGCTTTTTTCTCCTCTTTGGATCGCCCTCGATGAGGAGCTCCATCCAATCTGGCGGATGTCACCTCACTACGTGCTCCATAATTATTATTGCTATCTCGATCGATCATTATTTGAATTGGTCTCCTTATTTAACTGGGCCTGTGTCCACCCTCTACTGAAGTCTAGCCTCCGTTTTCATTTGGGTCTCCTTTTCGTTCTCATAGATTTACTTTCTTTCATACTCGACGGAGTTTCGTCATAGTTATCCTAGAGATGTCGCGTCCGAATCTAGATGAGCATATCCTGGTCGATGTAAGATACCACTCTCCTTGTTCTCATGTCCCTGTCTTTTACTTTGGTTATCACCTGCCCCGTCTGCTTGTTTTGCTTTCTCCAGAAGAAGACATTTGCCTGTATTTGCGGCCAACGGGTTGTTGTATGCAATGTACCATGGCTGTCAATTCTTTTGCCGGCAATAGCCTGCTTCTTTCCACATAAAAGGAAATTCATAATGACGTCTAATTTTCGTCTAAGTGGAATTTTTATTCTTCTATCGTTCTGCTGCTGTTCATGTTACGAGCATTGTATCAATTACCCCTCCTCCATCACGGATTCCTCTCATCAACCCCCAAACTTATGGGCTGAAACTAACCATTCACCACCAGACGAGCGATGAAGACTCACTATGTGACGCTCAATCCATCATTGACTCCAATTTCAGTCTCGCCTCCACAGCCCGTGACTACCTCTACGAGAATGGCCGCCGATACCACGCCTACCGACTGGGCCACTACCCAATGCCCAACGACGAGGAAGAACAAGACCGGCTAGCCTTCATGCATCATCTCTTCAAACTGCTCGTAGGCGGTGATCTCTACCGCGCCCCGATCCTCAATGACGGGCCTCCGAAGCGTATCCTCGACGTAGGCACAGGGACAGGCATCTGGGCGCTGGAGATGGCCGATGACTTCCCGGACGCAGAGATCCTGGGGACGGATCTGAGTCCCATCCAGCCGAACTGGGCGCCGCCCAACTGTACGTTCAGCGTCGACGACGCGGAGAGCGATTGGACGTTCACGCCTGCCGAGGCGTTCGATTACATCCATGCTCGGAGTCTGGGCGGGGGCATCGGCGATTGGAACCGGTTCCTGCGCCAGGCGTACAGGCACACGAAGCCCGGGGGGTGGGTTGAGCTCCAGGAGTATGAGACGTGGATCCACTCGGACGATGGGACGATTCAGCGCGCGCCTATGCTGCTGGACTGGCAGCAGAAGATTGATGCGGCGAGTAAGCAGTTTGGCAGGCCGATGAATGTTGCGTCGAGGTTGGCAGGGTGGATGGAGGACGCGGGGTTTGTGAATGTCACGGATGATTCTTATAAGGTATTTCTATCTTTTCCACTTTCTCAATGATGGCTGAGAAATCGCTGACGACTGGTTGTAGTGCCCAGTGGGCTCATGGCCCAAGAGTCCCCGGTTGAAAGAGATTGGGAGGGTGGGCAGGATCACCTTGTACGAGGCCGTAGAGCCGTACACATTAGCGCTGTTTACTCGCGTGCTCGGCTGGAGTGGCAAAGATGCGCAGGAATATGTGGATAAGGTACGCGCGGATCTGCTGCGCCCCGATGTACATGTATACGTTGTGTACCATTATGTGTATGGGCAACGACCGGCGAACGGGCCATGACGGTCTTATGATGATTACGACAATTGTTACGACTCCATTGTATATAGTCCGACAAAATTTTAATGTTCCTATGTCCGGATGTCATGATCTGTTCATCGACTTGTTGACGATACGATAACACTTTGTGTCATTGTAAAATGCACGAGTCATTGATTCAGACATGCTCCGATGGTTTATCTGGTTTCGAAGGTAGCTGAAATCGACAGACGACTCTAACCTTGTAGAGAATATCCGACGCCCTCGCCTGTCCCGAGCGCTATCAAGTTCGCCCTCATCTTCTCCGCTCGCTCGCCAATACCAAATGCAGCATCCTCCTGATGAACCCAAGAACCAACACCGTGCTGCAGGACCGCAGTAGCCCGAACCTTCTCATCCGTGTCGGACCCTGACGCCGACGCCTTCAACCCGATGCTCCCATGCAGCGTCAGCCTCGTTTCCTCACCCCCCTGGGGCTTCGCCTTGTACACTCCCCGATGGAGAATATTACTATCATAGAACACCGCATCCCCCGGCCGAAGCTCCACCACCAACTGACCCGGCAACTCAGGCTCATACGGCCCCGCACTGCGCTCCGTCTCTGTGCGCACCCGCCGATGCGACCCGGGGACCACAATCAGTGAGGAATCCGGACACAGTGCCAGATTATACTGCGCATGCGACTGCCGGCCCTGCGGGCTCTTCGCCTGCAGCAACCGCATCTCCTCCTCCGGCGATACCGTCTCAGGAATATCATCGCGGTGCCAGCGGAGCTCGAAGTCCTTCGTTTCCGGCGCAACGAGCAAATTGAACAGTTCCATCACCAGCGGCTCGGTAGCGTCGTTCGATGGGGTTGATGACCCTGTGCCCTTAACTCCGAGTAGCTCCTCCGCGACCGCTAGCACCTTCTCGGAGAAATAGAACCGAGCGAATTCGGTGCGGTCGGGCATCTGTGGGTGCAGGAGGTGCTGCACGCCCCAGATGCCGCCCTCGGAGGCGGGAGGAGGCGTTTTGGGCCAGGGTGGGAACTGCTTGGGGACGGTGCGGAAGTGAGGCCAGTGGCCGTTACGGGTGAGCGTTGTTGCTTTTGTAGCGATCGCGCGGAAGTGCTCGACTTCTTCTGGGGTGAGGAGGGAGGGGATGACGACGAAGCCATCCCGTTGAAGCGCGTCGAGGTAAGAGGTTGAGCCTGTCATTGTGGTAGATTGTATTCCTGTCAATGGTGCCCCTGTTTCGAGTCAAGAATCTGCTGTTGATGTTAGCTGTCGGGTGGGGTAGGGTGGGTTGAGCAATCAGTTTATATGTGTTGTTGGACACTGCGTGCGCAGACTCAGTGTATGGTTTCCATTATCAAACAATGTAGTATATCGAATACTACCTTGTTGAGTCCATGCCACCCTACATGGTAATCTTTTATAATCTTCAGTTGACCATGACATTGTGTGGAGTCCACTCATAATAACAATCACACAATTACTCTGGAAACAGTAATAAACTTCTACCCCGCGGCAGAAAGAAAGCGGGGTTGGATGGTTACATTGGTATGACTCAAATTTGAACCATACCATGAAGTAAAGTAACTATCTGATAGAGAACATCGACAGTGTGGAATAATACGATACCA